AGTATGTATTTTAAGTCCACTTCACTTTTAGCAAGCAATGTTGTATCATACATAACAAAAGTTGTTACTCAGTCTTCCTCCAATCCTGATGCCACGTTTTTCTTCATATAACCCAGCTTCTAGGACTATTTGCTCAGCATACAGGTTGAGTAAGTATGGTGAAATATTATAACTCTGTCGCACACCTTTCTTAATTTTAAGCCATTCAGTGTTCTCATGTTCTGTTCGAACAACTGCCTCTTGGTCCATGTACACATTCCTCATGAGCACAATTAAGTGTTCAGGAATACTCATACTTCTCAATGTTGTCCATAGCTTGTCACAATCCATAATCGAAAGCCTTGGCGTAGTCAATAAAGCATAGGTAAACATTTTTTCTGATATTCTCTGCTTTCAGCCAAGATCCATGGGACATCAGCAATGGTATCCCTTGTTCCACATCCTCTTCTGAATCTGGCTTGAACCTCTGGAAATTCTTTGTCAATGTATGCTTGTAGCCGTTTCTGTATTACTTTCAGCAAAACTTTATTCTCACATTGGATATCAAAGAGATTGTCCGATGATTTCCACATTCCACTGGGTCACCTCTCTTTGGAATGGGCACAATACGGATCTCTTCCAATCAGTTGACCAGATAGTTATCTTACAAATTTCTCAGCATAGATGAGTAAGTGCCTCCAGTGCCACTTCACTTCCTTGAAAGATACCCATTTTGATTCCATCAATTCCTGGTGTCCTGTTCTTTGCCAGTTCCTTCAGTGCACCTTGGATTTCTTTCTTCAGTATCATTGGTTCTTGATCATATGCTAAGTCTTGAAACAGTTGAACATCAACCATTTCCTTTTGGTACAGTGACTGTGTATTCCTTCCATTCTCTTTTGATGCTTCCTGTATCAAATTTAATAATTTGCCCAGAATATCCTTCAATAACAAAAGTCAAAGCTTGAATTTTTTTCTTCAGTTCTCCCAGCTTGAGAAATGCTGAATGTGTTCTTCCCTTTTGCTTTTCTGGCTCCAGATCTTTGCACATTTCATTGTAATATATGACTTTGTATTCTCAAGCAGACCTTTGAAATTTTCTGTTCAGCTCTAATTTCTCCCATTTGCTTTAGCATCTCTATGCTGGAGAGAAAGTTTCAGTGTCTGACATCCATTTTGATCTTTTCCTTCTTGTCTTCTTAATGACTTTTTGCTTTCTTTATGTGTAATGTTCTTGATGTCATCCCACAACTCTTCTGGTCCTCGATCTTTAGTGTTTAATGTATGAAATCTGTTCTTCAGATGCTCTCTAAATTAAGGTGGGATATATTCAAGGTCATATTTTGGCTCTCGTGGACTTGTTTTCATTTTCTTCAGCTTTAGCCTGACCTTGCAGATGAGCAATTGATGGTCTGTTCCACAATCTGCCCCTGGCCTTGTTTTCACTAATGACATGGAGCTTTTCCATTGTCTCTTTCCACAGATGTAGCCAATTTGATTTTTGTGTAATTCCATCTGGTGAGGTCCATGTGTATACTCGTCTCTTATACTGTCTAAAGAAGGTATTTGAAATGAACAAATCATTGATTTTGCAGAATTCTATCATGCAATCTCCAGCATCATTTCTATCACCAAGGCCGTATTTTCCAACTACTGATCCTTCCTCTTTGCTCCTAACCTTTGCATCCCAATCACCAGTAATACTCAATACATCTTGACGTCATGTTTGATCAATTTCAGATTGAAGAAGTTGGTAGAATTCTTCTATTTCATCCTCACTGGCTTTAGTGGTAGAGTATATGAAATGTCTAGAGATGACATTTCATAGAAACTATTTGAATCTACTCACTCACTTTAAAGTCCTTACACAACTTTTGCTTTAAATAACTACAGAACCAAAATTTAGAGCTCAACAATATTGAAACTATGAAAACATAAAAAAATATTCAGAAGTTTTGTCCAAAATAAATGTACTAGACATATAAATAACTGTTCTAAAAACTGGTTACCTTACAAAGCACAATTTTTTTTTCAATGCCTAATATATTATGGTGTATATATGGTAATAATATACCTGGTAGCGTAATGATTTACTAATCGGGCTGATAACTTCAGGTTGGCAGTTCGAAACTACCAGCTGTTCCACAGGAGAATGATGAGGCTTTCTGCTTCCGAAAAGATTTACAGCCTCGGAAACCCTGTACAGGGTCACTATGAGTCAAAACCAACTCTACGGTACTTAACAACAACAACAATATATTACGGTGAAAATTAACAAATGAATCCTCTTCGGTGCTTGATACCCATTCTGAATCATGTTTCAGTGACACTCATGTACAAATTTCAGAATGCTCAACCGAAACTTCTTTCTAAATGCCATAAAAGTCTAGGAAGATGGCCCTGAATAAGTTTGTACTATAAAGCATTAACATAGTGAATTAAAGAATGCATAAAAAGATAGTGAATATGAGCACTTATTTCTAATCTTGAACTCGAAAGTAAATCACAATCTTCTTTTTAAAAACAGAAGGGTAAGTTAAGGATAATAAGAGGAGACAGTGTAATAACTAATGACTATGAAAAAAAACACGGATGAATTTGAAATCTGATTCAATTTTTCAAAGTATTTATATACAATGAACGATTCAAACTGAAAATTTAGTCTAAGTGATTTTGCTAACCAGCATTCATTTATAATTTATAACGAGCAACTTATTAATAGATTATGCTCTTCTTACTGTTCAGCTTAATAGTTTAACTGGTGGTTGTAATCACACTAGGAACAAATGATTCAGAATATTGCCTGTGATCTATTTTCAAGGTTAATTATTTTTGTTTAAGCAACACAACAATTTAAGATGGCCGTATTGAAAACACGTCAACAAAATGTTTATAATACAAAGGAAGGAAAACATTACATACAAGAAAGGGGTTGATTCTAATTCTTCATATTAAGTATTTTCTATGGAAAAAATGTCCAACTCTAGTTAAAATATACATATGAGTTTGGCACTGTCTAGTAAAAACCTAGAACATGGTAGCCAAAAACGAAAAAACAATCCACATGGTCACAAGAATGGATAATTTGTGTTCTAGTAATTTAAGAATACGTATGAAAATCAGGTTATGAAAATCAATGAGTTCTTCTTACACACTCATACATTAATATAGATAAATTTTCAAAAATAAGATGAAAAGAAGCAGGTTCACAAGAGTATATATACATATACATATATTACTGTTTATATAAAATTTATATAAAAGCTTGTTAAAATGATTTAAATTTTATAAAATTGAACACAGAATTTCGGACTACTTTCATATGGGGACAAATGAAACAAAATGTAGACACAAAAAATTCATGTTTATCTCTGGTGGAAAGGACATATAAAGAGCTTCCAAATACTGGCAATGTTCCGTTTCTTAACTTATGCAGTAGGTATATAAATGTTTATGTTATTATTGTCTAAATTGTAAATATGAAGAGGAGCCAAAAAACTTGTGGAAAATTCCATTCTCTTAATTCCAATTTTCCATGAATTTTTGAAGTCCTCTCATATAAGGTTTTATATACCCCTTGTATGTGACATATTACATAATAAATAAGTAAAAAGCATAAGTGGGAAAAAAATAATGCTTTGGCTCCATAAAACTGTAACTTTATCCTTAAAATTAGTATTTCTAAAACAGGCCACGAATTTCATAATGCTCTACACAAACATATTTTGCTATTATTCTTATAACATTGCTCAATAGACATCCAGGACACAATCACTATAGACAGATAGGAAAAGTTATTGTTGAATGAAAGAACACGATAGTGTGGTTTAAGAAATGAAACCAGTAACATCTAAAAATGTTAATGCTTTCTTAAAACAACTCCCATAATATAATCTTCTTCTCAATTGGAATTTGGACAAAATACGTAAATTATAAAGTATCAAATTGGTAGAATATTATATAGCCATCAAAAAAAGTTAGCAAAGAATAATGTTTAGCAACTTAACAAAAAGTTGAAATGCAATATTACATTTTAAAATAAAAAAGAAACCGTAATCACAAATTTAAACTAAACTATTCTATATAAACACTAAGGTAGTTGCCCTGGTAGCATAGATTATGAGCACGCTGCTAATCACAAGGTCAGCAGTTTAAATCTACTAATAGCTCCACGGGAGAAATATGAGGCTTTCTGTTCCCATAAAGATTTACATCATTGGAAACCCCATACAGGGTCGCTATGAGTCAGAACTGACTCCAGGGCACACCACCACCACCATATAAAGACTACACTATATAACATGTAAAGCAGGTCTGAGAAGAAGCAAGGAAAGTAAAACTGGCTAACATGAAGGCAGCTATAATAGAAGTTGATGTTTAGCATTTTATTAATTACACGAGAAACAACCTTTTGTTATGCTATTATTATTATTTGTGATATTTCCATTCAATTATACAGTCAAGATATTCTTATTAAGCAAATACTTTATTCAATATAGTCCAGACCTATACACAGAGATGTAAGACTCAGTATTCTGAAGATATTACAGGCCAGTGAATGAAACACATAAAAAATAATATATGATAATATGTACTTTAATAAAGTTTTGACAAACTAAACATGACATATCACTTGTATCTTACACAGATGTGTATAAAGTCTAACTAAATAATCATTTGTAATAATACAAACATACTAAAATTCACCATTAGAGCTTGTCTGACACCTTGTTCTACTTCTCTCTACAAAAGCCATCCTTAGTAATAAGACTCAGAACTGTGTGAAAGATACAAAGGGAAATTTAGTCAAAGTAGGGGGAAATACATTACTGTGATAGGATTTATGAAAGAAAGTATCAAGGCTTTAAGACTAGATATAATAAAATCATGCCAGGGAATTAGAACACACTGATATATATCACTTGAATCAAAATGATAAAGAAAAACATTACTAACAAAAACCAAACTTCTACAAAATAAAGTATACTAATAACTGAACTTAAACTTAATTTCAGACTTACCTCTGCCCATTTAAGAATACAGGTCATGCAGAAGATATGATTACAATTTTCAGGAAAACCAACTTCCTTCTCTAACAGGCAGTTAAGACATATTGGACATCTGTCAGCTTCATTGTATAATGGAACAGTAGTAGCAGTATTATCTCCATTTCCTTCACCTGTAAGTTAAAACACCTGTATGTTTCCAAGGTCTCCAAACCAAAATTTCTAAATTATGTTCTGACAGTATGGTGAACTAGATAAGGATAGTCCAAAGGAATACCTACTACAAAGCAATAAAATTTTGAATGGATTATAACAAATACCTTCTTCTCCCTGAACCCATCCTTTCAACAACGACTAATAGTTTTTGTGAAGGTAGGGGGAAGCAAGAAAAAATTAATTTTGTTTAAAATGAGTCATATCTGCACAGTTCAAAAAGTAAAAAGGTGAAAACTCTCCCATTTACACCTATCCAGTTGCACCCAACCCAAAATGTAATAACTGTTAGTTTCTTTGTTTTTCCAGAAATACTTTCTATACCTCCTTCACACCAATACTTAGACACTACATAAATTAGTTCTGCATTTTTTTTTTTAAACTCTCAATGGACATACAATCCCTTGTTGTCAACCTTCCGCTATTACACACCATGCTTCAAAAAATAACCTTGTCATTTGATATTTTAAGATGGAGCGGGTGGGAACCCAGAGAGGGAGAGGGGCTGAGTGCAGATGACCAAGGGGAAGGCTTGCGAGGTATACCCTTTGGTTGTTTGATGATGCATGGAGGGGATTGTAATCAAAGTAGTAAAATAATATACAATAGGATGAATGCAATGCTAATGGTCGCCCAAGTAAACTATCACATAATTCAAGATAAAACACTTAAAAAATAAATAAATTGAAATTGAAAAAAAAAGTATATATACTCAATGGCTTGATAATCAGAACTTGACTGTTGTTGTTAGGTGCCATCCAGTTGGTACTGACCCATAGCGACCTTATACACAACAGAACAAAACACTGCCCGATCCTGTGCCAACCTCACTACTATTGCCACACTTGAGTCCACTTATGCTGCCACTTAGGCAGTCCATCTCATTGGGATCTTCCTCTTTTTTTCTGACCTCCATCTTACCAAACATGATATCCTTCTCCAGTGACTGGTTCCTCCAAACAGTATGTCCAAAGTATGAGAGATGAAGTTTGGCCATCCTGGCCACCTAGGAGCACTTTGGCTGCACTTCTTCCAAAACGGATCCATTGGTTCTTTTGGCAGCCCATGGCACTTCTAATACTCTCCCCTGTAACACCATTAACTCAAAAGCATCAGTTCTTCCATGGTCTTCCTTATTCACTGTCCAGCTTTTGCATGCATATGAGGTTATTGAAAATACCATGGCTTGGGTCAGGCGCTCCTTAGTCTTCAAGCTGACATCTTTGCTCTTCAGCACTTTATAAAAAGACCTTGTGCAGCAGATTTGCCTAATGTAAAACGTCGTTTGATTTCTTGACTGCTGCTTCCATTAGTGTAGATAGCTGATCCAAGAACAATGAAGTCCTTGACTACTTCAATCTTTTCTCTGTTGATAAGAATGTTGTTTATTGGTCCAGTGGTGAAGATTTTTGTTTTCATTACATTGAGATGTAATCCATACCAAAAGCTGTGCTCTTTGATCTTCATCAGTAAATGTTTTAAATACTCTTCACATCCAGCAAGTGAGGTTGTATCATCTGCATATCGCAGGTTGTTAATAAGTTTTCCTCCAATCCTGATGCCACGTTTTTCTTCATATAATCCAGCTTCTTGGATTATTTGCTCAGCATATAGGTTGAGTAAGTATGGTGAAAGAATACAACCTTGTCGCACAACTTTTAAATTTTAATACATTCAGTGTTCCCATGATCTGTTCAAACAACTGCCTCTTGATCCAGGTACAAGATTCCTCGTGAGCACAATTAAGTAAGTGTTCCAGAATACTCATACTTCACAATGTTGTCCATAGCTTGTCATGATCCACACAATCGAAAGCCTTTCTGTAGTCAATAAAGCACAGGTTAATTAACTTTCTGATATTCTCTGCTCTCAGCCAAGATCCATGGGAGGTCAGCAATGATATTTCTCATTCCATGGCCTCTTCTGAATCCGGCTTGAACCTCTGGAAGTTCTCTGTCAATTTATGATTATAGCTGTTTCTGTATTACCTTTAGTAAAACTTTACTCGCATGGAATACCAAAGAGATTGTCCGATGATTTCAGCATTCCGTTGGGTCACCTCTCTTTGGAATGGGCATTAATATGGATCTCTTTCAAACGATCAGCCAGATACTTGTCTTCCAAATGTCTTGGCAGAGATGAGTGACTACCTCCAGTGCCACCTACCTCACTTTCTTGAAAGATTTCAATTTTGATTCCATCAATTCCTGGTGCCTTGTTCTTTGCCAAGTCCTTCAATGCACCTTGAACTTCCTCCTTCAGTATCATTGGCTCTTGATCATACATATGCTACTTCTTGCAATGGTTGAACATTACCCATTTCCTTTTGGTACAGTGACTGTGTCCCTTCCATCTTCTCTTGATGTTTTCTGAATCATTTAATAATTTGTACAGTGAATCTTTGAGTAATGAAAATCGACGCTTGAATTTTTTCTTCAGTTCCTGAAGCTTGAGAAATACTGAGCGTGTTCTTCCCTTTTGTTTTTCTGATTCCAGATTTTTGCACATTTTGTTTTAATATTTGGCTTTATCTTCTCGAGCTGATCTTGGAAATTTTCTGTTCAGCTCTTGGACCTCTCCTCATTTCTTCCATTTGCATTAGCATCTCTACGCTGGAAAGTAAGTTTCAGTATCTCTTCTGACATCCATTTTGATCTTTGCCTTCTTTCTTGTCTTCTCAATAACTTTTTTTTTGTTTTGTTTTAAATGTTTTTTTGTGAATTATATGATAGTTTACATGGGAGAACTTTAATTTTACATTCATTCCATCGTATATCATCTCACTGCCATGGTTCCGATCCCCTCCATGC